TGGCTGAATAGCAGTATCATTAATATAAGAATAAAACTTGTGCACTGTAGTGGAGTGTAATTCCATTATGGGTAAATTTTGCTTTGATAAAGGCTCACAGTGTTATACAGTAATGTTTACTGATGACGTTTCGAGCGAAATTTATTGCTCATAATCATATCAAGGTAATAACACGACTTCCTAACTTCATTTATATGATTCCATTGTTTTTCACTTGATTTGATTGGCAGTAGTATTTTCCATATTTCGGATATGAGTGATGAAACATTTCTATTGCATGTCTTGGGTGTAGACTCGATGAACCAGCCAGGATTCAGTAATCAATCTCTCTCTCCACCTACGTAGATTACTTTTTAGGATTTTAACCCTCTCCCACAATGCCATTGTGTGGTTGTGTGTTAATGCATGCATTGCAATTGCTGAGCTTTTTTCTAAGTTACTTATGTTCTCGAATTGGGTCAACCATTCTTCCCTTAGCTAAATTCTTATGTTCTCACAGGCAATCTGACTACCCCTGACCTACTAGTTTGACCTATGTAGTTCACCTAAGTGACAGTCATCGTAGGGTATTTTGTAAATTATATTATTTTGTCTCATTGGGTCAACTGGGTCCTTTAACCTACAGAGCTTGTCCCTGAGAGCGTTTGTAGGTTTAAATACCACCCTAATAACATAAATAAGAGAGAATATAAGTCATCTACAATTATACCATATAAGGAGGGAAGGGACATGTGAGGTACTCTCTACGTAGGATTCTTAATAAAGCAGGAATTACACTGGTGGCATTCAAACCTACACACTCATTCAAGTAGGACAAGCTCTTGAACAATAATTTAATAATTTATTTTACTTTATTCCAAAAACAGTACTTATATTACAGAATGGAACTCAGCATTTGTCACAATATTGCATCTGATTTACTCAAAATATAAATAAAATTAAAAATTAAAACAAAAGTAACCAGAGGAATTTGTTCACGTTTACGATATCAAGTCAAGAATATTCGAAGCACGAATTGAGATCATTAAATATTAATAACAATAATAATAATAACAATGAGTTTGTTTCAAACAGTATTGTCGATTCAGTTTGGAAATTTTAGCATGTTACTATAGAGTATTGAATCTAATGTTTTGTTGATATACCAGCATGGTGAGGGGAAATACAAGATTAACAGTGGAACACAGCTTAAACGATGTTCACACTTATGAAAAATAAATAAATAAAAACAAGGAATTGAGAGGATTATAAATATAAGAAATACAATCACAATAAAGTTTGATACTGTAAGGATGGAGGAAATAGTTTACTTAGTAGTGCAAAGAAGGTTAGTTAGTTCATGCCTGACATCATTTTCATCATTTAAAGTATGTGCTAAATATGGTATAGTGGAATTTTTATACGTAGACGTACGTGCATAAATTCTTCTGAAACGACTTCTTGTTTTACCTGAGGAGACACAAGTTTTGAGCTGCGGGTAGAGTGGATGCTCAGAGTCTGACAAAATTCCTTTAGCAAATTTGTTGCATGACATCAAGTGCCCTTCAGTGACAATGTCAACGATATGGCCCAATGGGATACCACTCGTCTTAATGACAGTCTTCAGAGTTCTACGAAGTATGACATAGTCTTTTTTAAGCAATCCAGGAGAAAATAAGCACGGGTGAATAGTAAAGAATAGGTAAGATGCACGAGTTGACAAACTAAGAGCAGGAGGGGTTGGATTATGCCTGAACGCTTTAACTTCTTAATGTGAAAATTCAGACGAAACATTCTTTTAGAAATTGCTAAGACATGGGAAGACCAGGATATATCAGAAGAAAGAATTAGTCCAAGATACCGAAATTCAGACTTGATTACTATATCACTATTGATATGTAACCACATATATATATTTATGTGTGTGTGTGTGCATGTTGGTCTCTCTTTCTGTTTGCTCGGTTAGCCTGTGACCATTTCACTTGTGTGAACTTGTCTCCTTTAATAATGTATATTCTCCTTATATTATATTATATATAATATGAGTGTTTGTTGACAGTCCGTTGCTTGGTGACATATATCCATATATGGTTGTTCACATGTCTGCTATATTCGCTATGTATATTTGGATCGACACTCCATTATAATTAGCCATTCATGTTAAGACTGTCTAATGATTTTCCCACGCTTTGTCTGGAACATTTATATATATTCGCATTCACAATTTGTGTGAAATACTTTACTTTACAACTGCTTTACTTACTTACCACTTTGGTGTGAGACCATTTATTTTCGTCTCCTTGTGTTTGGACAAGAGAAGTATCATCGCAAACCTAGTGGTCTTCTGATTTCCGCCTTCTCGCGTCAGGACTATTAGTTTCTCGACCAGTCCATAACAATAATTTAGCGACGAGTACATAACAATTTGTCGACGGGGAAAACTAGTACATAACAACTATCATCAATTTTGCACCAGTCATAGGAATGAACAGCTTCATCATTTAACTTTCGTTTATATCGGAAACTGAAATTAACAGTCTGACATTTGGAAGGATTTAGTTTAAGGCCGTTAGACGAAGACCATTTGTTAATTCCTGACAGAAAGATGTTCATCTTAGCACAGTCAAGCTGGGAGTTAACAGACGTTGAAATAGTTAGATCATCGGGATACTTAACAATGTTCATTTCGTTATCAGAGTGAGGCAAATCATGCAAGAATAAAGAAAACGGAGAAGGAGAAAGAACAGCCCCTGGAGGGACACCAGCCTCAGTAAGCAAAGAAGTGGACGACTTTCCCTGACATACAGTGTACTGCTTTCTTCCTGAGAAATAAGAATGCAGCCATTTGACAACCCAACAGTCAGTTTGAGTTTCGGCAAGCTGGTTTAACAAAATGTCCCTAGGTACTGAGTCGACGGCAGATGTGTAATCTGCTGGAGACAATGTTATGGTACAAGACTGCAACTGCATCTAAAGTACTTCTGCTGTATTTATAAGCGAATTGTTTAGGATCGTTAAAGGCTTTAAGTGAAGGTTGAAGATTAAGTAACAGTAACTTTTCCATAGCTTTTAGAAAAGGAGGGGTAATAGCAATAGGTCTAAATTTAAAACATGTTCCAGTAGACGACTTAGGGATAGGTGCAATTTTGATGTCCTTCCAAACGGCTGGCACAACATTCCTGGAAAAAGATTCGTTAAATATGTCCATGAGAGGATAACACAGGATGTCTGCACATTTTTTAAGAATTAGACTAGGCAAACCGTCTAAATCCAGGCTACAAGAAGTCACAGAGACTGAAGACATTTTAGAACATCATTTGTATTGAAACCATGGATGCAGGTTTCATTAGCACTAGTAACAATAGAAACTTTAGCATTTGTGGGGGAATATATGAAAGACTTGTTTAGTGTGCAAACATCAAGGGAATAAGAAATACTGTTCATCTGCTTACCACAAGTAATTTCTTTGAAAAGTTTCCATATATTAGACGCATTTTTACAGGATATAAACTTTTGGTTGTAAATTGAATTCAACCTGTGTATTTCAGATTTTACTAGGATGTTAATTCTTTTCAAACCAGTATTGTCCTTCATTTTATATAGCTTTTCTTTTTGTCTGCGAAGCATTAAGTTGAGGGGAGGAGAAACGGTCAAATCTAATGAAGCGCGTTTCTCTGGGATAACAGGTGTCAAGACAAAATTTGAGATAACTTGTAATATTAGAGATTGTGTCATCAAGAGAGTCTTCATTTAACAGGTCCCACCTTGTGTCTTTGAGTATGCCCCTAAGGTTAAAGGATCCAGGTGACCCAATGAGACAAAATAATATAATTTACAAAATACCCTACGATGACTGTCACTTAGGTGAACTACATAGGTCAAACTAGTAGGTCAGGGGTAGTCAGATTGCCTGTGAGAACATAAGAATTTAGCTAAGGGAAGAATGGTTGACCCAATTCGAGAACATAAGTAACTTAGAAAAAAGCTCAGCAATTGCAATGCATGCATTAACACACAACCACACAATGGCATTGTGGGAGAGGGTTAAAATCCTAAAAAGTAATCTACGTAGGTGGAGAGAGAGATTGATTACTGAATCCTGGCTGGTTCATCGAGTCTACACCCAAGACATGCAATAGAAATGTTTCATCACTCATATCCGAAATATGGAAAATACTACTGCCAATCAAATCAAGTGAAAAACAATGGAATCATATAAATGAAGTTAGGAAGTCGTGTTATTACCTTGATATGATTATGAGCAATAAATTTCGCTCGAAACGTCATCAGTAAACATTACTGTATAACACTGTGAGCCTTTATCAAAGCAAAATTTACCCATAACTGAATAGCAGTAGTCAATAATACATCCCCATTGTGTTCTGACGATGGGTAATTTCAACTTATGCGTGTCGACATTATCTACAATTCATCCACTCACTAACAAACACTCGAATTTCTCATCCTAATTCAGTCTTGCAACCAACCGACTGTCCCCAGTTCCGTTTAGTTTAATCATAGATGCATGTGCTCATGGACTTAACCATAACTGGGTTGCAGGACTCAAGGACTGAGTTGTTACCACCAGGGAATAATAGTCTCGTTAACTTAGAATATGCTGGAGATGACATAGTCACCACTTCAAGGTGAAGACGCTGGCTGACAAAAGAGAGCAGTCTTCTGAACACCTTGAGCTTGAGCAGAAATCTTCGAATGTATGAGCCATGCGATCGACTCGTTCATGCTTCTAACAAATATAAGATGATGAGGCTGCAGGACTGGACTGAACTTAACTGGACTGCATCGATTACTCCTGGCTTAAAGATAAGCAGGATTGTAGTGGTGTTTGGCTGTCTCGCTAGACGCGTTGACTGCTTGACTTATTTGGTTTTTTAACTTCCCGGCAAGAAGTCAGATAACTCAAAATATTATTGCTCTCCTAGCAAAAACTCAAGGTGATTACACATACATTATATATATATATATATATATATATATATATATATATATATATAACTTACCGGTATTGCGTTTTTCGCAGTATTTTGAGCAGATACAACTGGAAATGTATTCATTTGAGATTGTAATTCATTGTTGTTCACTGTGTTGTGATTGGCTTTTAAAGACAATGATCTCACAGAAGAAGACGTCGAAGTAGACGAAGACGGGGAGGAAGATGTGTTAGTGCACACGCATTTTGCAAGACGACTTGACAAATCAGAAGTTGTTGCTGTTGTTGTAGTAATTGATGTAGATTCAGTGACGTTAGAATTCGGCATTGTAGTGAGTACATAGGGATTCTGTGCATTCAAATGATTGGTTAAAGAATTCGGTCCAGTTAATAGCCAAGATAGAGCCGACGATGGTGATGGCGGTGATAATGGTGACGACGGTGTTGAATTCGGTTGAAATAATCGTCTATCTTGTGGTTGTGATTCTTGCCAATTGGACGATGATTCATTATGTGACATGAACACAGAATTTCTTAAAATTATGAGAAGATAAAACAAACAGATTTACTAAGTAACCAAGTAAGTGTATAACACCACATTGTCTGTTATCTTGCATATATCACTTAATAAAGATGAAACACACACACTCTCTCTCTTTACAAATAGCCTATAATCATTTATTAAGTATTTAAGAGCTGATTTGTACAGATTTCGTATGGATTTCATTGACTGGCTAGCTAGCTAACTAACTTTTTTCCAGCCCAATGGATTTATGTCAGCTGACATTGCATGTTGTCGAGAAAGGCGATGGCTAGGCATGCGTGAGCAACACATGTCCTAACCGTACATCTCATTCGATGTAGCTTCACAGCCTCATTATCGATTGATTTCCCCTCCCACCTACCTAGCACACGACCGAAGCATAACCTCAATATTGCTCAACTTGTACCACTACTTCACACGAGAGATAGAACGCAGGCACCTATGATCACAGACAGCTAGGCTGGCTTTTCATGCATTACACAGCTAGTCATAAAGGAGGACGGAGCGGACTGTTGAGTAGTATTACACACGTCTTTTGATCGATAGCCAACCAGATATCACGTCTACGCCAGGCCAGAGATGGCGTAAACTGGTATGTATGCGAAACGAGCCTTCTGTATTCGTGGTGAGATTTCGATGGGGACCAGATCAACCAGCTGTTGTTGACTGGGCTGATTCAACTTCCCAACTGAGTGAAGGGGTCGAGTTGATGAAAGTCGAGACGGTGGAGACGGAAGTGATGAAGATAAGAAACCACCACCACCAATTACAGCAAGCGACAACAACAACAACAAGAACCAGCACAAATCACCATCAACTGGAGAAAGAAGTTGACAGAGGTTACTACCTGCCTTCACTTATCTAGCCTAGCCTAGGCAGCCAGTATCGTTTCAACCAGAGGCAGTCGAAACAGCCAGATTCGGAAATGTAAGATAACAATAATGATAATTTTGCTTTATTCCAAAAACAGTACTAATGATACATCAAGGAGTTGTCAGAATTCAGTACAATATTGCATCTCATTTACTCAAAACGACAAAAAAGCATTACGTAATAATATTATCAAAACGCTGTTATAACAGCTATGTAGCAAACTGCAGTATGCGATAAGGAGAAAAATATGCATAAAGTTGTGGTATTAATAGTAATAACAACTAAAATAGAATCACTAAGTTATAATTAAACGATAGAAAGGGTGACACCATAAAATTACAGAAGGATGACTGATGAAAGGGTCGATTCATTTTGCTAATTACATAGTAACTTATATGTTTCATGTCTAACAGTGTCTCCATCACATAACATACAGGTTAAATAGGGTATTGTAGAATTTTTGTACTTAGTGGTTCGAGCATATAGCCTCTTATATTGACTTCTCGTTCTACCTGATGAGATTCAAGGGGATAGTTGTGAATAAAGGGAGGGGGCAATGCAGGGGATCCGACAGTACGGCCTTTGCCAATTTTTTACAGGAATTTATGTGCACCTTCATCGACCAGAAACCAGTTTGCAAATCTTTTGCTTCACTACTCCACCACAGTATAAACAAGGTTCAGTTTTTCAACACAAATGTCGGTGAAGTCAGTCAGTCACTTAGTGCTTCTATATGGGTGAGAAATTTGCCCTGCGCATGAATCAAGAAAAGGATTTCCAAATGCCAATCGCAGATTTCTGTCAACAACTGCCACCTTTGCTGGCTGCATACTGAAGAACAAATGGCCAGCCAGCCAGCCAACCGGCCTGCCTGCCGGCGGGAAAGAATTAGCAACAACAAACTGTGGTAATGAGCGAACCAATCAAGAGTTGTAGATTGCTGAACAAATATGTAGGAGAAAATGGAGGCGGACTGATAGGGTATACGTTGAGGAGGCCGTCGAATGACATCGCGTGCAACGCAGGCCATAGGTCGAGTGGAAGCTGAGTAGGAAACGTCGAGTGCGAGATCGTGTGAATTGGAGGGAGAAGAAGATGAGAGAGTATAGGCAATCATGGATCCAACTGAAGAGGACAGCACCAAATAAAACAAACAAGCAGTTGTGTTGTTGAAGTCGTTTCTATGTTCCACTCGGAGCCCAAGTGAATAGTAATAATAATAACAATAATAATATAATTTTAAACATACGCATGATCAAAGTGAGCCGATAATTGATCACTATTCTCAAATATAGTTGTTGGCAATAGTGTGATTGGAGTATCGGATAGAGTTAAGCAAGCAGATAGATTCGATATACATGAACTAGACTTTTCATGGACTGCAGATTTACACTGAACATTTACAACATTGTGATTGATACATTTTGTAATATCGATTACAGGTTGACAACTACTAGAAAATGATTCCATCGCGTCCATTTCAGCTTCACTTGGTACATGTTCATTAGCATTGATAATAGCGATGGCATAACCAAGTGCATGTGCCTTTTCTACTAAAGATATCTGACTACCAGATCGAAGACCATGTTCTGGATGTAATAGAAGTCGTGGAGACCATACACCCGCTTGAGCAACACCTCCGCCTTGAAGTAGGATAATAAGAGGCCCTTTGTGAGTGAAAAAGTTTGCTGAGTGTAAAACTCGCATACATTTTGATGGATGTCCAGGAATCTGTTGAATTATATCAACAACAAAAGAAAATACAGAGAAAAATACAAGTATAGTAGAGATGCTTACAATTATCCTATAACACTAGTGACCACATTAGACACAATACTTAGTTGTACTTCCTTAAACAAAATCCTAATGGAATTTCTAAGTACATAGAAAAAAATAAAAAATCATATCAATTCGTTTATAAGATAAATCACATACACACACGCTGAGTGGAACAGTATTACTGATAAATGGATGGCAAAGTTTCCAACACAAATTATTTATTTATTGTTCATAATCATATCATTACTAATAATGAGACAACCTCGAATCTTTGGTTTTATAGTTTTCTTTACTCCCTCCTACTCGTCGTCATTTGGGGACACTAGTAGAATTTTCCAGATGCCTGGGTGGAAAGATGTTCAACCATTCCTGTCCCACATATTCCCCTCTCAGTCGATTCGAAATATAACGCCTCATTCAGTTATCAATCTCTCCCTCCCTCCATCCTGTTACATTCGATTTTAAAACTGTTGTCTTATTCCATCATCCTATATATTGTATGGTTGTGTGTAATTGTCTGTAGTGAGTGGTATAGCTGTACTATTGTCCACATTTCTTATCTGATTGTGGCCAACTAATCTAGTACGTACAATAAGTTCGAGGATTAGAAAACTGTGTTCGGAAGATACAGTAGAGAATGAGTTATATTCATTACATCAAACCCTAATAGAGAATGGGCAGCCACCAAAAATCACCGACATAAACATGATGAAAATCCTCCGTCGGCAAATATCACAAATCTGCATAAAGAAACTATCTTCATGAAATATAATAGCATAGGATTTATCATCGTAAAAAAGAATTGATTTAGAATGACAAGTGGAACAAGTGAAATAATACCGGGGACAGTTCAAAGTGAGAATAGTAATAATAACAATTGACCTAATAAGGAAGAGTATACAAATTGAATAGACAAAATGAAAAATTGGTAGAGCTAAAATATGATTGGGGATTATCATATTTTAGCATAGAGGGATTAGGACCATGAAAGTTGGAGGGGTTGAACGAACTTTTTCTGTACACAGAGATCTGGCTTTTCTGTTTCGATAACCAAAGCTTCAGCAATACAGATGAGTCGGGTACGTAGGGATTTGGGTAGATTACTCTTTGCCTTGTAGATGACTTTAAAGGCGGAGGCTATAGAGATAGGGTGATCATTATCGACCAGATGTTCTATGATCGCGCTTCTTATTGCTCCACTTCCACCTTTTCGTAGCCATGCAGGATAATGTTCTTGCACCCTCTTGGACAAAACTCGAGTCGAACGACCGATATACCTAGCTCCACAAGAGCAGGTGAATTGATAAACGCACATAGAGTTGGTCAACATTGGGATCTTGTCCTTCAGGTTATTGAACAATAATGGTCGGCTAGTAAAAGCTATTCTCAGAGAGGTAGCAGGGAATGTTCTTTTCAGGGACTGTGATATCCTTCGTTTCATGATATCGGAAGCTAAGTCCCCTTTGAATTCTAAGCTCATGTAAAGTATTTTCTTGGGAGCGGTTGATAAGTCACGTTTTGTAGGCTTTGAATGTATATTCTTATCTATAAAACGTGGTGGAAATCCATTTTCCATTAGGATTTTCCTCAAAGTGTATAACTCATCTTCCACAGTATCAGTGCTACATATGCGTCGAATACGAGTGGCAAGCGACCGGACCAGGCTTCGTTTTCGACCAATGGGTACCCAGCTGTAGAAATTTGTCAGTTGACCATTCCATAACAGCTTACGATAAATCGATCTCTTCAGAGTTCCATCGGTCCTTCTTGATAAGTTCACATCGAGGAAATGAATGCTGGACTCGTTCTACATTTCGAGTGTGAATTTTATCGCAGGATGGCACTCATTAAATACACTTAATATATTATTCAGGTTACAATCAATATTACAAATAATAAAGGTGTCATCTACATACCTTTTATATATTTGAAAGCTTTGGATTATAGGCTTCAGGGAACCATTTTCTAGACTGGACATAAAAACGTCTGCAAGGAGAGGACCCAAGGGAGAACCCACTGCAATACCATCCTTCTATCTGTAGATTGTCTCATTGAAAGTAAACTGTACATTTAATGTACATCTCAAAAGTAGTTCTTTAAGATCTGTAGTGGGTATCCCTATATTCAATTTGTTGTCTTCAATATATTTGCATATAAAACATATGGTCTCTGTCAGTGGAACGTTCTTAAATAAGGATTCTATATCCAAAGACAACATTTGTTTATTCGACGCATTTACATCCTGTATACATTCAACAAATTGGAAGGTGTCCCGAAGGGAATGATTGGATAGTTGACCCCTAACAGGTTCGAGAATTTCAGCTAACCACCCAGCTACTGGATGATAGGGCGATCCAGACATATCCAAGATAGGGCGAAGTGGAACTCCAGCTTTGTGTATTTTCGGTAGACCATACAGTCTTGGTATTAGAGATCCTGTTGGTCTGATCTTTTCGTATAATTCTTCACGAATGAGATGGTTGTTCTTCATTCTCTTTAAAGTATCGGTAAGTTGTTTCTCAATTAATTCCGTCTTGTTTTTCTCGTTCGGTTTCGAGAATTCACTGCTGTCTGAAAGTAGACATGACATTTTATCGATATAATCTTTGCTATCCGTAATAATAACACCTGTACCCTTGTCAGGGCGTGTTAATAGTAAATCGTTTTTAAAACTAAAATGTTTGTGATTATAATCGTAAAGATTATATCGGTAAAATGTCATGTCTACTTTCAGACAGCAGTAAATTCTCGAAACCGAACGAGAAAAACAAGACGGAATTAATTGAGAAACAACTTACCGATACTTTAAAGAGAATGAAGAACAATCATCTCATTCGTGAAGAATTATACGAAAAGATCAGACCAACAGGATCTCTAATACCAAGACTGTATGGTCTACCGAAAATACACAAAGCTGGAGTTCCACTTCGCCCTATCTTGGATATGTCTGGATCGCCCTATCATCCAGTAGCTGGGTGGTTAGCTGAAATCCTCGAACCAGTCAGGGGGCAACTATCTAATCATTCCCTTCGGGACACCTTCCAATTTGTTGAATGTATACAGGATATAAATGCGTCGAATAAACAAATGTTGTCTTTGGATGTAGAATCCTTATTTACGAACGTTCCACTGACAGAGACCATATGTTTTATATGCAAATATATTGAAGACAACAAATTGAACATAGGGATACCTACTACAGATCTTAAAGAACTACTTTTGAGATGTACATTGAATGTACAGTTTACTTTCAATGAAACAATCTACAGGCAGAAGGATGGTATTGCGATGGGTTCTCCCTTGGGTCCTCTCCTTGCAGACGTTTTTATGTCCAGTCTAGAAAATGGTTCCCTGAAGCCTATGATCCAAAGCTTTCAAATATATAAAAGGTATGTAGATGACACCTTTATTATTTGTAATATTGATTGTAACCTGAATAATATATTAAGTGTATTTAATGAGTGCCATCCTGCGATAAAATTCACACTCGAAATGGAGAACGAGTCTAGCATTCATTTCCTCGATGTGAACTTATCAAGAAGGACCGATGGAACTCTGAAGAGATCGATTTATCGTAGGCTGTTATGGAATGGTCAACTGACAAATTTCTATAGCTGGGTACCTATTGGTCGAAAACGAAACCTGGTCCGGTCGCTTGCCACTCGTATTCGGCGCATATGTAGCACTGATACTGTGGAAGATGAGTTATACACTTTGAGGAAAATCCTAATGGAAAATGGATTTCCACCACGTTTTATAGATAAGAATATACATTCAAAGCCTACAAAACGTGACTTATCAACCGCTCCCAAGAAAATACTTTACATGAGCTTAGAATTCAAAGGGGACTTAGCTTCCGATATCATGAAACGAAGGATATCACAGTCCCTGAAAAGAACATTCCCTGCTGCCTCTCTGAGAATAGCTTTTACTAGCCGACCATTATTGTTCAATAACCTGAAGGACAAGATCCCAATGTTGACCAACTCTATGTGCGTTTATCAATTCACCTGCTCTTGTGGAGCTAGGTATATCGGTCGTTCGACTCGAGTTTTGTCCAAGAGGGTGCAAGAACATTATCCTGCATGGCTACGAAAAGGTGGAAGTGGAGCAATAAGAAGCGCGATCATAGAACATCTGGTCGAAAATGATCACCCTATCTCTATAGCCTCCGCCTTTAAAGTCATCTACAAGGCAAAGAGCAATCTACCTAAATCCCTACGTACCCGACTCATCTGTATTGCTGAAGCTTTGGCTATCGAAACAGAAAAGCCAGATCTCTGTGTACAGAAAAAGTTCGTTCAACCCCTCCAACTTTCATGGTCTTAATCCCTCTATGCTAAAATATGATAATCCCCAATCATATTTTAGCTCTACCAATTTTTCATTTTGTCTATTCAATTTGTATACTCTTCCTTATTAAGTCAATTGTTATTATTACTATTCTCACTTTGAACTGTCCCCGGTATTATTTCACTTGTTCCACTTGTCATTCTAAATCAATTCTTTTTTACAACGATAAATTCTATGCTATTAAATTTCACACAATATTACGTAACGTTTTTGTTTTATTCGATTTGCCTACTAATCCTATAATTGCACATCCTTTTTCAAGTTCTATCCCTCCTATGAATTATTCTATATATGACATTAATCTGCTTTGCCACTTGACATTTAACTACGATTATAATCACAAACATTTTAGTTTTAATTGAACTTCATATTATTATTATTTTATGCATTCACACCTAAGATTCAATTCCCTCACCGGATATAACTTTTTAAAAACCATATATATACGACTGTACAGCTTGATGATAAATTCGTTGAAAAGAGTCTCTTCACTGAATCACATGTTTTGATTTTCTAAGTGTTACTAGGGGAGTTTTCCATGAGTTAAAAAATGGAAGATTATGAATACCAAAAGAGTGAAATACACCGCACTACATCGA